GCTGCAGGAATTAGTGTGGGCCAAGAGACATGCTATCTGCCACTTCCTGCCAGTCCTGTTGACCCAGAATGGCAAACAGCAGCCATTGGGGGCTGAGGAGCTCTGAACCTGCAGATACCTCAGGTACATAAAACATCCCAGCGTGCTGTGCTGGAAATTGAAGTGTGATGACACCTATAGTAATCAGAGAGCCTGACAATGGAGGCCTGGTGTGAGGCCTAAGGCCTGAACAACAGTCAATGCTTTGCTAACATAAAGCAAAGCTAAGCTGTGAGCAAAAGACAGGTCCTGCTCACAGAAACTTGGCAAGAACAGGGCTGCTGATATTACAGAAATACACATACCTTGGAGGTACTAGGTACAGGCCATGCACATAAACATTCCAGGAGGATGGTAACAGAACATCTCTCTGCAGAAACATCTCGGTACCAGTATACTTCCCATAGATAACAGGGACATACTGACCCAGGTTCAGCACAGGGTCAGGATGACAGCATAGGGGGATAGGGATGTTTTGATTAAACCACCATGTACAAGATAATTGGTTGTATCTAGGTACGTCAGGGGGTGTCAACCTAATATTTTTAAGGGTGGCACCTTGATACATAAGAAGTGATGTAAGTTGTTTGTACCTATTTATAAAAGGACACTGCAAAGGGTACTCTCCGACCGACCTGGGAGGAGAGGAGGGCGCCCTAGGCACCTGAACAGCAGGTGTCATTGCCTAGACTTACAGAACGCACAGTGGCTTAACTCTGACTAACCGCTGTTAATATCTGTTATTCGATAATAGGCCTGCTATTTATTGGTACATTGTCAACGTGGGCCAAATGCACAGTGGTGTAGCATTGGGAATTTCTGCTACCAACTGTTAGAGCTTTGCATTTGACAATAAACCTGCATAATTGATTTCAAACCTTGCCTGCATCTGTTGTTTCTGGGGGCTCTCAGAGATCTCCCGTGTTGACCCAAGTGCATGGGGTCTAACACTCTAGATAAAGGGAGCACTGATATTGACACATGCAGCTGTAAGTTTATCATCACTGTCAGAGTAGAGGTCCTGTCAGAAGCACACCGGGACAACCCTGAGCAGATGTCACTGAACACTGACAGTACAACAACTGCCCCCACGCCAAGTTAAAAAAATTGGTAAAACGTAATGACCCATTCATAATCTGACCTCTGGTTTTTACTGCATCATTTTTAACTGAAAAAATTCGGTTTATGATCAAGTATATAAGCTGCTTCTTGTGTCTTGCTTACAACACTCTTGCTAATACATCCCTGAATGGTGCTGGGGGGAGGGGAGTAGTGTGTGTGTGTGTGTATGCGCGCGTGCGCTTTGCAACAGTATTCTGCTGTAGACTCAGGCCCATATGCAGGGGTAGGTGCAAAAGCAATCTCCATGTTCCCTCAAGTAAACATGATACAGCCAGCGAGGGGAAGGCAGGAGCAGCATGATGCCCGAGCCCCCCTCTGCCATGCTCTGGCCGGCCAAGGGAAAGCTGGGGCTTATTTCCCCACTTACTTGAGGGACCACAGGAGGTGCATTCACACCCTTGCAGAAGGGCCAGCCCAAGCAATTTGTGCGCCCTGGGAGCATGGTGCTGCCCCTGGGAGTGTGATGCATGCACAGCCCTGTCCTCAGGAGCCCGGTGCATGTGTGGCCCCACCCCCGGGCACGCGGAGCATGTGCGGTGCCACCCCTGCCTGGGTGCCCTGGGCGGTAGCCTGATCAGCCCGTAGCTTGGGCCGGCTCTGCCTTGCAGTCCATATTTACAAAAAAAGCACACACACCCCAGAAATTCCTGCATATGGGCCTGAGACTTACATTTAACTTGTAATTCACTATGATCCTCCAAATTCCCTGTGGCAGCACTCCTTCCTAAGCAGTCATTTTTCATTCTGTACATGCACAATTGGTTGTTTCTTCCTAAGTGGAGTATTTTGTATTTGTCCATATTGAATTTCATCGTCTTTACTTCAGACCATTTCTCCAATTTGTCCATACCCTTTTCAATTTTAATCCTATCCTCCTAAGTATTTGCAATGCCTCTGAGCTAGCTAACATCCACAAATATTGTAAGTGTACTCTCTATGCCGTCATTTAATCCACATAATTTATGAACTGTCTCCTTTTTGGTCAAAAAAATCAAATACCCAAAAAGTCTTTTTGGCCAAAAAGAATTAAAGCTTGCTGATTTAGAAATGTTCCTGAATTGCTTCATGGGAGTTGTAGTAGATATACTTCATGTTCTCTTTCTTTTCTGTAGGGTGGGCGACACAGCCATATGAGGTTGCTGGGATACCCTGTTGCCAGGAAACTGTAGTGATGCATGGTAGTGATTCAGCAAGAGTGGGAGACTATGGTGCATTATGGGAAATGTAGTTCAGTTAGGGAGTACCCCACAGAAGAGCCTGGGCAGTCAGGCAATTTAATTAGAATTCCTGTGAGGCACATCTTTAATCAACATTTTTCATTGTTATTGTTTTGTTCTGAAATTTTCCATTGAGAAATACATTGAACAACTAGCTCTACTCCTGAGTTGCATTATGATGTATTTTCTTAATTTAAAATTATGTTTGCCTTAATTTACAGTTTGTTGGGTTTCATTGAATAATCCACAGACAGGGTTAATAAGTACAAACCAAAGCTTAGTAAGAGCAACACGTCCACATGTTTGTTAAACCCCTTGAACACCGGAGGAAATAATTGCTAGTTTTTCACCTGACAATACACAACAGTGACACAAAAACAAATTTCAGACATCTGAGCCCCACCAGGGGAATTGCCTTCAGAAGATTATTATGAGGTGATGGCAGTACAAACTTAGCAAATACTCTAATACAAATTCCCTCTGCTATGTGTCAGTCCTGAAAAATATGGCAAAATAAATATATTCACATATAAACATACTTTATGGAGTTACCATCAATCCAAGCAGCAATGCTAACAGTCATCAGTCACATTGCATGGCCAACACTTGCCCAGGAAGCCACTCATCTGTAAGCCATAGAAAGAAAAATCAGACCATGCTAACCCTACATGTGGTGTGCTGTATGGTGATTAGGAGAGATCCCATATCCCATGAAACAGCTAGAAGGATTTGGGAAGAGTCAGAATGGAGCATTCTGGTAATTTAAATTCTTAGATTATACTTAGGCCTGGACTACACTTAAAAGTCTTATACTGCCAAAATCCTCATAGAATAGGCACAGCTTATGCCAGCAAAGAAAAAAAAGTGAACTAAATAAACTATACTGGCAAAAGTACTTTTATGCCAATATAACTGCATCTACACCAGTGCTTTTGTCAGTATAGCAATGTTAAAAAAAATCACACCTCTAACTAATGTTATTTGCTCACAAAAGTTTTTAATGTAGACTTGGCCTTAGTCATTATAAATCTATCCAACAGGATACAGCACCCTAAACACTAGGCTATGAGCCAATCTTTCCTTTTGGAGTTGTTCCACTTTGTATAACTAAGTAAATTAATTGGGCCATAGCAAGAAAGAGAGATTGAGTCTACAGCCTGTGATTAGGGCATTCACCTTGGTTACAGGAGATCCAACTTCAAATTACTGCTTGTCTCATTTGAGGGGGAGACTTGAACCTAGTTCTCCAGGCTAGCTGAGTACTCTAAACACTGAGCTGATGGATGCTTGGGGTTTTACTTGCTCACTTTGATCAGAGGTTCCATTCTGGTCTGAGGAACTCTCTCAACCTTTTCCAGCAGACATGTTTTCATGCAACCTTGGGTTTTTAATTAGTGTTTTTCTTAAAAAAAAAAAAAAAAAAAAAAAACACGAACGGAAAAATTTCTGACCAGCTCTAAAAGCAAACTGCCCAGTTAAATAACTAGCAGATTTCAAGCTCAGTCCTGCTTCTGTGTGTGTTTTACCATTGAACTGTCTGGGAGCAGGAGTGGGCATTCAATGGCATACACATTGAAAAATGTATCAGCTGGCAACAAAACCTGTCTTCAGATTCTGTACACAAGTTAAAATACTCCTCTGTGTTTGGATAGGGATGCAATGTATGATTCACACGAGTCTGCTTATCTTATCTTCGAATAAGGGCCCCTGGTGCAAGGCTGTAGTTGGGATTGGTCCTGCCTTGGGTAGGGGGCTGGACTCCATGACCTCCTGAGGTCTCTTCCAGCTCTATGATTCTATGAGCGCAAGGCTCAGGGCAATGGAGGGAAGACGCTACAGAGCCCTGGAATGATGCGGGAGGCAGCAGGGGGCCATAGGCTACGGGAGGATGGATGGGGAGGAGGCAGCAGGGACCATGTGTGTCAACATACAAGTTCGCCCAAGCGCTATTTTCCCTATCGCTGATTTTCATCAAGTCACAGAGCAAGTAAATAGAGGCAAGAATAAGTCACCTGACTCCCTGTCCAGGACTCGCGCCCTACAGCCTCTCCAAGTCTTTAGTTCAACGTTGCTATTCTGCTGAGATTTCAGCTGCCCCATCTATGTTTCAGTCAGACCTGTACCCTAATCCCAACCACTCACTACTCTGTTTGAGCACAACGGCATTATGTGGCAGTCCCACCCAGTCCACGACAGCTTCTGCAGTCTCCAGCTGAAGTTTAACAGGAAGGCAGATACATCCCGCATTTGTGATTTGTTAGGGGTTTCCCCTGTTCTCTCCCCCGAACACTGACCAGATCTGCCAAGCAGAAGTCAATGGTGCCACCTTGCAAGGTAGGTTTAGAAGCAACAACACCCATCACGTAGTGGCCTGAAGGACCCTTCCCTGCCTGTGTCTAGCCCTGGTAAAAATCAGCATGCAAAGCAGTGGTTTGAGCCAGATCCGGTGCCCACACAGTACGACCAGCAAAAGTCAGCCCCGAGCCCGTACAAGCGCAGCCCTGCAGCTTGCTGGGGCAGGGACCCCTGCCTGTATAATCTCTCTGTGACGTAACCAAACGGAGACTGTTTCCACGTGTGACTTCAATCCGGATTCCCAGGCACAACAAGCACTGGGCAGAGGGGATCTGCAATGAGCTGGTCTCCGCGCCTGCCAGACTCCGGGCGCTGCAGCCCCTCTCAGACAATGTGCCTTGCTGGGTTCGCCACCGATCCCGTAACAAGTAAATGTCCCGGGGAGAGGGGGTGGTTTTCATGTGGTTATTCCCCTTAGTGCCCCGGGATCCAAGCCTTTGTGAGAGCGTCCTCCCAGGCAGGGCAATAGGATCTACCTGCCTGTTCCTGCTGGCTGGTGGGTATTTGGCTTCCTGTTTCTCCACCTGCGGCGTCCTCATTGGTTAAGGTCTCTGACTATCAGCTGACTGGCTGCTTCACCTGCTGTGTGTAAGAGTACTGGGAGAGCCCAGTATTTGCAGCACGGGTGTTTCTCACTGGCATTGCTGCTAGACTGACATGAGCAGGAGGAAGAAGGCTTCAGCACTGGGAATCCCCTTCATTCTAGCCAGCATCCGTTTTTGATTCACTCCAACCTGAAACCCAGCCAGACATAACACAGTTTTGGTTGCTGCACAGTCTGAGACGTTACAGATTAGGTAAGGGTTAAAATATGATAAAGCAAGCAAAGTGTTGGGTTATCTCTATGGAAAAGGATGGACTTGGAGAGCGATGTTACTGGCCTGGTCTTCATCTTATGGAGAGCAATAACCATACTGGAGACTTGTGTTGAAATCTCTGGTTGGTGGTGTGGGGTTGGTTTGTTTTTTTTGGTCTCTGTTTGGGTTTAGCAGCCACTTACAGGGAGTAAGATAACTTTGTTTTCTTAACTTGTTACTGAGCAAGTATTTTTGTATTCAATCATATTAATTACAGGCAGTCCCCGGGTTACATACAAGATAGGGACTGTAGGTTTGTTCTTAAGTTGAATTTGTATGTAAGTCGGAACTGGTACATATTGTAGGGGAAACTCGAGCCAAACATTTCTCCAGAGCTCAGTTTTATTCTCCCACACCTCACTTCCCTCAGTCCTTTATTCTCAAGCTGAGGTGTCTGCTGAGAAAAGCCGCTCTGCGTCTCCCTGGTCTGCTGGGGGGAGGAGGGGTTAGCTTCACGTTTCCCTGGTCTGCTGCGGGGAAGCAGCTAGTGGGGGGTTGCCTCACCCCGTTTGTAAGTAGGGATCAGATGTAAGTCGGATCCATGTAACCCGGGGACTGCCTGTACAGAACATGGCTACTGCCACTCCACCCTCCTATGCATGGCTAAGAACTGTACTGAAATACTCATTGCCTTCCCTTGCTAAACAATTGCTACCTGTTCATGTATCTCTTTTCACCAGCTTTGGTTTCATTATCTTTTGTGGGAACCCAATACATCAGATACCCCAGGGCTTTTCATGTCCCATTAACTAAACCTGCTGGGCCAGAGATTCATCTGGTGTAAATTGGTATTTCCACTAGTTGAGCATCTGCACCGTCATTTCAAAATGCCTTAATAGTCCTCCTCCAAATTGTGCATGGGCTGTGAAATTATGTTAAACAAGTATTTGGAGTGCTGCAGCTAGTTCAGTTAATTTCCTTTTCTCTGACTTGCTGGCCATGTCACATGATATCTCTGTGATAATCCACCTAGCCTCAGTAATAATCGTATAGATTTGGTAAAATCAACTGATTTAAGTCCATTTAATTTAGTAATAACAGATCTTCCCTTGCAAGCTAACATGGTACTGACTGTATCATAAAACTTTCTGGTTTGCAAGCTGGGTTTTGTTCACATAAATCAAGTTGTAACACTTTACATCAAAACTTGTTCCATTTGCTATGAAAAGCTACTGGATATATAGCGATGTTAAGTTTCTGATGGGAAGAAAAGCATGGTCTCTGAAGTGCATGGGTGTGTGTTACATGTGAGATTCAAACAGCATGTATGGTGTAGATGTGTGTGAACTTGTTTTTGAAATCAGTTCCTTGTGCTGAACAGAGGAGAACAGAGTTATCTAGGGCCAGATTCTGTGTTGCATCTCTCAGGAGGCCCAATGCAGGGGGAGAGGCAAAAAGCACTTCAGCACTCTTTCTCTCCCACCCTACCATCCTCTGATGCCAGCTCTACAAGTTGTAGGTGGTTAAGCTAGTGTAAAAGGGTAGCTATTAGTGCTAGTTGAGAATTTTGAAATGTGTTTGTTTTTTAGTGTTTGAAATAATTTTCATCTCTTTTCTTTTCTTTTCCTTCTTTATTTATTTACAGTATATACTTTAACTCCCCTTCCCTCTTTTTGACAATGAATGCAATTAAATTAATAATGCTTACTGTCTGATTCCCTGCTGCTCTGTAATAGTTCAAAATTCTTTCAGTTTTAGAAAAGTTACAAAGTAGCAAAAGGAAAAATGATATGCTGTAGCTTTGTCATTCTCTAACTTTTCAAATTTGGGGTAAGTTTTCAAAAAATGCAGAGCTGCACTTTTCTTTGCCACTTTTACCCAATTTTGGAAGAGTTGCAGTTTTGGCAAGATAGGCCCCAGTCCTGCAAACATTTAGGGACACGCTTAACTTTACTAATGGGCAAAATCAACTCGAGAGTAAAGTTAAGTAGGTGCAAAAATATTTACAGGATCTGAACCTTAATGAATAGTAGAAAAAGGAGAAAGAAATAGAAGGAATACTTAGACGTCATTCATTCTCACAGTCACATAAAATTGGGAGTAAAAAGGCAGGAATGAGAAAGGTGGAAATAAAAAAAATCCATTTTTTATTTCCCCACCAAGGTTTTGGGAACCAACTCAAAACAGAAATTTCAATTTATAACACAGCAAAATGAATATTTTCCATTAAAATATGTAATAAAAATGTTATTTCCCTATGAAAAAACATTGCTTTTTTTACAAACTCCGGCTCTGTTTCCATTGGAGATTTAGACCCAGTATTCCATTCTCTCAGCTAACGCAGAGCAACTTGTGATAAGCTACATCTACGGCTGAATCTTGACATCCCTTCTAGAAGTGAGACTGTATTTGGTCCCCATCAAACAAGGTTATAAGTCTTACATCTTAAGGAGAAGACATTGTTGGCTGTTTGTGATGTTGTTGTATTCAGCACACCCATAACTAGACTTGCCGATGGGGGATAAAAGGGACAGTTGCCCTGTCATCCAGTGATTCCAAGGGGCCCGAGACTGCATTAACAGCCAAAGCCCTGGCCCCTTTAATATGCTGCTTTAGCACTGCACTGCATGCTCTGGGTGGCTCTGAGTGGGGAGGGACAGAGTGGTGCACTCCAGGTGCTGCAGAGGGCTAGCTGGTCTTTTCTTGACCTTTCTGCCTGAGGCCCTGTCCCTTCTGGGAGCATGGAGCTGGCCTCCCACACCCTACCCAGAGGCTCACAGAGGCTGTCAGTGCCCCTGCCCAGAACTGTTATCCCTCTGCCTTAATAAGAGTGAGAGCTCTACAGCTGCCAAGCTGTCTGTCAGGGAACTGACACACCAGCCTGTCTGCCTGGCCAGCAAACTGTTCAAGATTCTGCCAGTCTAAATCTGACCGTGCAAGTAACAACCAGTGAACTGTGTTTCTGAGTTCCCCAAAGACCTGCCCCTGCACAGTCCACTTTCTCTCACTGAACACCCACAGAAATTAGTTGCTTCAGAGGGGTAGAAGAGTTAGTCTGTACAGGATAAACTTAAAAAACAACAAATAGTCTGGTAGCACTTTAAAGACTAACAAAACATGTAGATAGTATCATGAAATTTCGTGGGCACAGCCCACTTCTTCAGTTATCTGCCTCCGAAGAGACAAAGTACACACCAGCCTGTTAGGTTAGCTGAAGATTTACATTTTATGTATTCATAGCACTGAAATTGTTTTGTCATAAAATAAGTTTATTAACAAAGAACAGAGATGTGTGTGTTACTAAGCAAGAATAAAAGAGTCAGGTATGGTACAAAACAAAACATACTTTCTAGTGACTAAAACTTAATTTTAGCAAACTACAATCTTTGCCTAAGCAGTTTTCTTATTTACACCAAGTTACCAGCGTCAGTAGCCCCTCCAGACTAGGGGAACTAACTTTCCTAGGCTCCAAGGATGCTGTTCTCTAGGGCCACTCAACTTTGGAAGCCCCAGGGGCCACAATGAAACTCACAGCACATGCAGAGGTCTGCAACTTAAGTGTGGTTGCATATATTTGCAAATAGCTTCTTTCACACTGATGGGCAGGAATACAAAGATTAAGCGTTAAACTGCAGTGCCGGACCCAGACATGGCCAGTGAAAGCCAGTCTGCACCTCTCAGATTCTGTCCGCAAGGCTAAGCAGCCAGCACTTCCCACAATGACCCGGTGCTCCTGGAATCTCCTCTCTGGGGTCTAGAAACACCCTATACCCGTCTGTTCCAGCCAGCCCGTCTGCTTGCATCATTCAGTGCTCACCCTGCCTGGGAGATGCCTTACCATTGTGGAGCATGTTCCCAGTGAAGGCCATGTTCAAAGGATTCCACCTGCGGGCCATGTGTTGAGCCCCACTTAAACACAAACTGCACCGCAGGCTGCGTGTTGAGTAGCTCTGCTGTACTCAGTGAGGGGACACTGGTGGATAACTCAAAGGTATTTTTGCTGCTCGTATATTTCTCAGAGTTCATTGTCTCTGCCTCAAGAGCCAGGAAGGCTTCCCGGGAATGCAGATTCTGTCACTGGCTATGGGTGCTGAATGGTCTTCTCCCCTGCTTGTTGAGCATGATGGCTTTGTTTACCTTATATGTATACACTGTCATTGCCCTCTGCCTGTAAGCAAGACATTCAGACAGATAAATACACTGGCCCTGTTGCATTTCATCTTGTTCATTTCAGGCCATTTCTTCAATTTGTCATGGTCCTTTTGAATTCTAACCCAATCCTCTCAAGTACTTGCAACTCCTCGAAGCTTATGTCATCTGCAAATTGTATTGGCACACTTCTCATGCCATTATCAACATTATTAATGAAAATGTTGAATTGTTTTCTTTTGTGTTTCTACTGAGTTATTCTACCAGCTGATTGTATCAAAGCAGAACCCAATCCAAACAATGTCCCATTTCAGACTTGATGGAAGTTCAGATCTGGACTGGTTCCTGGCTCAATGTCAGGTAAAGGACAGACCTGTGATTTCAGAGAGGTCCTTGCCTTCTACTCTTAAAATTTGCCAGCCCCCCTATGTAATCTATAGTAATGAGAGAAAAGACATTTTGCCAATGGAGCCACTGCCATCCTGGATCCTAGAATCATAGATCCAGATTCAAAGGTACCTTTGCTCTTCCATTGTGCATTTCATAAGCTCTTGTTCATAGAAAATGTCTTCTTATAAAGAGTTACCCCATTTAAATTAAAAAATTGTTTGACTCTTAACAATCACTGTCATCCTTCTGGTTTACTATTGAACCAGCATTCCACCATGACATTAGAAGGTGCTATTGGATGCTTTGTGGTTTGGGTAAGTTGCAAAACTGACAATCTGGCCACAGGTGTCCATTAAAGATTACTTGGCACTCTCATTACATTCATCATGGACAAACACAAAGTTGAAAGACATAATCTGAACTACCAACATATATTGCCAGATTCTAAATCAACTCCAGCT